TCACCTGAAAGAATACAGCTGGACTGCCTTAGACTGTTCTGTATGGGAGATTTTGGTCAGAGGTCAGAGGACCAGTAGGCTGTTAAAAATCCTTCTGGTAAAGACTAGGATTGGGAGGTTTCTTCTGAGGAGAAAGACTGTATTGGTTACTGGACTCCAGACAATGTGTGTTATGGCTTGGCAAAAAGTTTGTCTGTATGTAGCTTATGTCCAGAGACTTTACTTAAGACTGAGATTAAAGGTGGTGGGATAATTAATCTGGCAGAAGACATTTCAAGGCAGTCTAAAGTTGAGGTAGTGGCACGGCTATCATTAAGGGCTTTTAGCCAGATTTATGCTGAGCACAGAGTCCAGAAGAATGGTTTAAAATGTGAGTTTGACCAGGATGAAGGTTCCAGTAAAGCTGTGAACTGCAAAGATACAGTTAAGAGACCCAATTGCTGAGAAGGAACAGGAGAGTATAAAAGATGGCCTGAGGGCATCCCAAGAAGCAGGCAGTCTCCATACTTTGTAATCTCAAAATTGTAAAAATCGACTCCCGAGATCCAGCCATGGAGGGACTCAGGCAGCTTATTCACCCGCCCTCTTGGTAAGTGCCCTGGCGAGGGCCAGGAGGAGAACCTTTACTGTGAACCTATTGCCACGTGGGCCGAAAATCAAGCACCCTTCCTCCACCTGCCCCCCATAGCTACTGGGGATAGATGTTTCAGCATCTCTTGGGAGGATGACCATATGCAGTATAGCAAATATGGGGGATTTCCTTCTATCTTCTGTTCGAAGGCATAGGTTGTTTTCAGTGTTTTGTTATGTTTCTTTTGCTCTATTCAGTATTCTCAACTGGTTTTATAATGTTCTGTTTTTGCTTTGATTTTACTATACCTAATTGACTGGACAACTATTGTGAAGTTAAAGAGATATACCATAGTACCTATTACTACTATCCCAGTATCCTACTGAGAAATCCTGTACCAATTTCACTGAATTGTCTCAATTGGCTTTGTTCTGTCTTGTGCTGTTGCATTTTTACTACTTTCAAAATTTAAAAAAAAAATTGCAAAAGTGAAAGGCGTGGCTTTGGGAATAAAGCCCTGGAGTAGCAGGTTCCAGAATGGCAACAGCATAAAGAATTTGTTTCTCAGAATTTGATTCAGAGTGCCCAGCAATCGAGGAAATTGACCCATTTAGCCAAGAGAGAGGAAAGTCCAGGTGACTACAGACCTTGGCAGCATCCACATGGCACTAGTTTTAGGTGCATGCAGAATGCAACAGTTGTGAGATTAAGAATGCTTCCATCTAGATTCAGAAGGTCTGGGATGTCAGGCAGTGTGTCCTGTGAGAGTAATGTGTGAAGCTGTTAGTGAGAAACCAGAAATAAGGTGGAGACCATTCCAAAGTTTGGAGGAGCCATGAATATGGATTATGTTAGGAAACCTGCAAGGAACGAGCACAGTGGGCCCAAAGGAGAAGCTGTGAGATGTACAACCACCACAAATGCCATACAGGAAAAGCCACACAACTCCTTTGGAGTTCACAATTTGCCACAGATTGCTTCCAGTGTTGCACATGGAATTATAGGACTTAATGTTTCCCCTGCTGAATTTTCTACTTGCTTTGGTCCTAATATTGTGTATCTCCCTGTTTTTAACTTTTGGAATGGAAATGTTTATCTTGGTACCATTGAATGCTGGAAGCATTTAACTTTCGTCTCATTTGTGTAGGATCTCATAGCCAAGAGTTTGCCTTACATCTCAAAGGAAGCTTGGGACTTAGACTTACCATGTTATGACTTTGTCAACAATTAGGGATGGACTGAATGTGCTTTACATGAAGGGCTGTGCATGAGTTTTTGGGAATGTGCTTTACATGAAGGGCTGTGCATGAGTCTTTGGGGAAACAGGGTGGAATGTTATGTTTTATGTCTGGATGAACCCCTCAAAGCTTCATGTGGTAATTAAGGGCTGTTTTTTTGGAGACAGCTTAATCTAGTTTGTAATTTGTTCATTGTCTGGTGCTGGGATTTGGGGTATGACATGTATTCTGCATACATGGGAGGGAGAATATAAGGGAGAAAAAGAGGCTTGCTCCACCCTTTTGCCCCCCTTTTGCTCTTGTTTCTTTTGCTGACTTCTGCCACCAGGAACTTTTACCCTTCTGCTGTGTCACTCTGCTGATAATGGACTGAAACCTCCACAAACTGTGAGCTAAATAAACCTTTTTTCCTTTAACTTTGGATGTTAGGTGTTTTGTCTTAGAAATGAGAGAACAGTAACTAATACAGTCACCAAGAGAGAAGCAAATTAGCAACAACTCCATTTAGAAGACAGTAACAGGCCAAATACTCGGGAATCTTAGAGGAAGACAAAGAAGGGACTGGAGAGGTGTCCTTCTTAGTCAGGAACTGGAGAGGTTCAAAACAGGAATCTCTCTGAAATCATAGAATTTTCATAAACATTATATGAAATTATATGCACAACAAAGATAGCAACTGTTGGCACATTTCTAGGACTTGATTAACGCTAATTAGATGTTACTGAAGGGGGTCAAATATTTTATTGTATGAAAATAATTCTTTAAAGCATAGTGCAAGGGAGCTGGAATGCTTCCTTCTTGTTGTCTATTTCCACATTTGTCTAACTCCTGCTCTCCTTCAGTTAGCCTCAAATGTTATTTAGGTCCCTCTTCAGTACCTATGGTACTTTGTTTTTTGCTCAACCAAGCATTTATCACATTGTATTTTGCACTAGTTTGAATCATTTTAGGAAGAATGTATCAGTTTCCTAACTGGAGGGGATAATGTCAGACTCCCTAAGGCACCATAGAACAAAAGCTGTGTTTTAGACATTCAAGAATGTCAAGGAATTAATGAGGTTGGAAAAAAGACTTTTGCAAAACCTGCTGTTATTTTAGTAAAATCTTTACATGAAATAGTGTTTAATTTTAAGTTTTTATATATCTATCCTTCGATCATTTATCCACTTGATAAAAATCATAGGGAATGTATGTTAAAAAAACCAAATTGTTGAGCCCCTTCCTGAACAATTGTCTTATTAGCTGTCACAGCAGAACTAACAATTATAGATTTTAATTACTATACAGAATTACTATACAGAAATATAAACAAAAATATAGATGTTTTGAAGTACAGATGACTACTTGAAGATAATCCAGAACTTCTTCTTTTCCCCATTTGGCCTGTCACCTTCTCTCCAACAAATGTCAGCTCCATGTATTTGTTTATCTAAGAGTATATTCTTAGGCAATTGCTGATTGGCTTTTAATCTAAATACAAAATACTGTTCTGTCGCCATGGGAAGGACCAACATTCCTAAGTTTAGCTCTGGTGGGAAGAAAGGCTGATTCTGGGAGAAGCAGGGTTGGTTTTTCAGAACACTCCTTTCCTCTCTGACCCACCAACCTGATCATAGGTTGTCCGCAGTTCCTCTTCCAGAACTCAAGTTGCAGCTTCCTTTCTGCGTCCTTCAGTTTCTTCTCCCCTCACATACCTGGAAGTCCATTTTCCTTCCATTCCTACCCCATTTGTCTTCTTACAGTCAGGCCAATAATTGATCCTCAAGCAGAGCTGAAACTTTTTGGCTTCAATAAGCTATAAATGAATATTAGAATGCATAATGTACTTAAAATACTAGAGATGTGCTATAAAAAGAGCTGTTGTATCTTTGGTATTCTGTATTATGTTACAAATGAATAGATTCTGTAAATCCTTTAGATAATATGCATGAGACTATTGCAGAGCATCAGCCTGAGATTGTACGCACTTTAAAATGTAATAGCTCTAAAATTCTATGTTTAAACAGAAATGATAAACCCTTCTTCCCATATTAAGATACGATGTGATGGAATATACTTTTTAATCTTTGAGAGAGGGGTAGGGAGAGTGGTGATATTTTTCTAGAGTTGTTTTCCTGGTACCTCGTATCAGAGCAGCTTGCATGATCCAGTTATAAAATATAACTTAGATTTTAATACATTGCTTAAAATCTTTAATTGTTAATTCTGCTGTGACAGCTAATAAGACAATTGTTTAGGAAGGGGCACAACAATTTGGTTTTTTTAACATACATTCCTTGATTTTTATCATTAGTTAGTTTAGCAATTCTGGCCTAAACATTAAAAAGCTGATTAAGAAAATAAACTATGTGCCACCATACTTTAGTATTAAAAAAAGTTCTACCTTTCATATTCTCCCAGGAAGAAAATGTATCATCCGTATGGTTAATTCTAGAAAAACAGCAACACCGTGGTGGGTGCTACTGCCTTTTGTCAGAGAAATGGGTACCATTGTAGGGAAAGAGCAGGAACTATATATTATTTCTAAGAATAGTCATGAAGGCCCTAATGAAAATAATTGCTCTGGAAAGCTCAACTTTTTGACTTTCTTGGCAAAAAGTGCCCGTAGTCCTACAGACAGCTGGTTCACTGCCACAGTGTTTGCAGTGTTGAGTTCTCTGCGGAAAAGAATGCTGAAGTAGTCGCAGGGCTCCTATGGACTGTCACGGACAGCTGGCCACTGTGAGCCATTCATTATCTCTTCCTTTTTTTCTTTTCCACTCCTCTCTGCTTTTATTTCTTTTCCTTTCTATCAATAAACTTTTTATTTTGAAATGTAGATTCATGTGTGCTTTTTAGGTAATGATGCAGAAATAAACTGTATGCTTCACTCAGTTTCTTGCAGTGATAGCATCAGGCAGAATCATAAAACAATATCACAAATAAGACATTGCCCTTGACTCAGGCTATACTCAGACAACATCCCCGTGGCCCTCCTCTGACCCTTTTATAAACCCGCCTGAGTCCTCTTCCCAGGATGTACTTCCAGAAGAAACCTTTCCTCTCAATATTAAAAATGAAATATTTGGGAGAAGCGAATTTTTCCCTTTGCCAGGATGTTTAATATCCAGGAGGTAAACCCAGTTCTAACAGGTAAGTGCTATTTTGCTTGTCCCAAGATAATCCAGTTTCTGCTGTACTTATATTTCTAGGGAGATTCTTCTGTATTTTGCCCCTAAGGATCTGCCGTCATCAGAATTTAACTGCACAACTGTGGAAGAATTGATAGCAAATATTGAGGTAAGTTAGCCTTCTTGGAACTCCGAGGGAATGATATTAGCTGGAATTTAGCCTTCAGGGAAGAAAACTGTAAAAAGCTAGAGGTCAGCGGGCCTAGAACAGTTTATAAAGGTGAGGATCTTTACACCAACTGGGTGGCTCATGATGAGAAATCAGTGTGTCCAAGGATAAAATAAGCTGTAGGAAATAGTATGCACTGAGAACAGTTAACTTCAAAGATCAAACAAAATGGACATCATTTCTGACTTCCCTTCCTCTTCTTCACCAAAAGTGCATTTCTTTTCCTTAAAACTCTTCCTCAGCTGCCCATCAGGAGGAGCTGAGCCCTGCCCTGTGCAGGTCAGCTGCATTATGTTCCCAGAGCACTAGTCGTACTAGAAGTGCTAAAACATCACAGGGGAGATGAAGAAGATCTTATTCCCCAAAGTCCTTTGAGGGGACAGTACCATGTATGACTGGGGAAGAAACCTTCAGTGAGATGCTTCCGGTGCAAAAGGGAAGCCTCTGTCTGGTCCTCCTGCAGCAGCACCAAGTGGTCTCCGTGGGGCTCAGTCCGGCAGGCTGAGGGGCACCGGCTAAGGTGCACCAAGGTCTGAGGCCAGAAGAGCTGCTTCAGGTGGAGCAGGAGCTATTGCAGGAGTGCCGGGGACCCCTTCTCCACCTCCGTGCACAGGATTGCTTGGGGGGAACTGATGGAAAAGCTGTCAGTGAAAAGAACACAAATTATTAATCAGGCAAGAGTGCCATCCGGCTCCATGTGGTCCTGGGTGAAATCCCTGATTTTGTAACTTGTTTCTGCTTCTTTCCCTTCTTCTCTCCCATGGAAGACTCATTTCTTAACCAAGACTATTCTCATCAGGGTCACCTGTGATCTCTGTGAAGCCTGATGTAGTAGTCACTTCTTACTTTACCTGAATTCCCTGAGGCTTTCACCCTCGCTGGGCCACTTTCTCTCTAAAGCACTTTCTTTGCAGGGTTCCATGGCCACACACATTGCACTTTCTTGCTCCCTCTCTCACATACTCTCTGCGCCTACTGTTTCCCTACTTGGTTTGTAAATATTCTGTCTGATCTCTTGTTCCTGGGCCACATGCTTTTCTCTGTTTAATGCTTCTTCTAGGTGACTTCATGTAGTCTCTGACTTTCAGTACCATTCTATGTGCCAATAACTCCGAGTCTATTCCTCAACCAATCTCCTCCAAGAAATCCAGACTCGTACTGTTTTCTACCCATCACATTTCGAATTCTTATTAATTTATAATTTAATTTTCTTTCCATTTGATTTTTCAATCAAATGGAAATTTTTCAATCAGCAAATTTTCAATCAATCAGCACATTTAATCATGCTATATTTGTTTATTTAAATGCCTTAATTGCTCTTAATGAAATGTTATATAATTTTGTTAATCAATTTAATTGGACCCAGGTTTAAGAGACCCAGAGTACTACTATTGACCAGTTCTAGGCTTTGATGCTTTTTTCAACTGGATACTTGCATACTATAACTGTTACAGACAGATCATTCTGTAAAGCTAATGTCTTGTTCTACTATCGTTTATGAAAACAGCAGACGCAATCTCCAGAGCAGACAAACCAAAAGCTGAAACTTTGTTTCAACCAGGTAAGCTTCCTTTCCAAATCATTATTCTAAATGACTTTGCTTTCTAAAGAAGAAATATATATTTTCAAATGTTAGATTTGGAAAGAAATCAAATTCACATTTACTTATGAAAATTTAGATTAGTGTGTAGACTATCAGATGTTACAAAGCAACATCGTTTGGAATTTTAAAATACAAAAATTTCCACCACATGAGAATTATGAAACATTTACATTAGGACTCGATTCTGAACAGTAAAGAAGATATTCTTTGTCTTCAAGAAATGTAGCCAATGAGTACTAGAAACACTAGACTAAAGCCAAGATTGCAAAATTTTGCATTATTTCAGACAGTTTAAGCTCTGTATTTTTACTGATTAATAAATTTTAAGATTATGATTTTTCCATTATAAAAGTAGTTATAAAAAATAAGTAGTACTAGTGTAAGAAAGGAATTTGAAGAAATTCACCCTTAGTGTCAAACTATCCATATTTTCTGATTATTAATACTTTATTAATACTCTATTTTATTATATATATATATATATATATATATATATATATATATATTGTGGAATTGGTGTGTGTGCATAACTCATCTTAATCCCTTTGTTCATCACCTGTCCTTCCCCTCACTTCCCCTTTACTTAGTTGTTTAAAGATTTTGTGGGTAGTAGGAGAAAGTCCACGGAGCACTTCAGTTTTTCTACAACATAACCCAAAACATCACACACCCTTAATTCCTTCCTTTCACACTGGGGAGCACTTCTCTAAGATGTGAACATGTCCAAGGTAACATATAGGATTAATTAACGTTGGGACTGAGGTGACCACGGAAGGCCCAGACTCATCACCTAGCTATCTAGTTGCTACATTAGCCTAGAACTTATATGGCACCAGGACTAGCATTGAACTTTAGGTCTTACCGACACGGTCTTTTCTCAGATATGCACATCATTTCCATCTCTAACTCATACATTATCAGTATCTTCTTCCACATGCTCATGCTTACAGCTGTCTTGTGGAAGCTCACCATACTAACATGCAAATGATAAAGACTGGGAGGTGAGTGGCCGTCCTCAAGTTGCGTAAAGGACAGGGGTGGGCAGTGGTACCTGATTTGTCTGTAGTGTAGGTAGTTATTAATTTCAATGGTCTTGTTTTGTAAGTGAAAAAGAATTGTGAATTCCTGCAAGACATGACCTAGTATACTTCAATGAAACAGGCTTCTCCTTAACAAAGTCAGTATCACACAAGTGTTTACATTTTGAAGTGTAGCTAAATTTAACAAGCCTTGTTGTTATGTTTGCCTCTGATACTTCTGACTGAGTGTCTAGTGAACAGTCTCCAGTAACTAGAAATGGGAATAGAGATTATAATTAGTTTTCCATTACTACTCCACTGAAATGTGAATTTGCTTGTTTTCTGAATGTTAAATTAAAAATATAGTAATTAAACGTTTTTGGTTTGATGAATTTTTGTCAATATTTCTTAGCTAAAATAAAAAGACAGTTTATTTTCAATGCGTTTTGACCATATTTTAGCACTAATACTATTTTAGTGAACTAATAATTTTAATAACTAATGATTTAATATTAAACATTTTAATAACTAATGACAGAACTATTAGCACCAGGCAGTAGACAGTGATGTTCTGTATGTTGCTTCATGTTAACCCTCACAACTTTGGGAGGTTGATAACCACTGTCTCCATCTTAGTAACAAGGACATAGAGATTCATTAGATAATTTGTTGATGTCATCATGAAAGGATCCAATTTGAGATGTCATACAGATTTCTCCTACTCTGAAGTTCTCTGTGTTCTACTCCCCTCACCCACCCACACTCATACACCTTATTTTTACACAGATTTTAGCACTTGATTCTTGGTATGGACTCTGTAGACCTTACTTGAAAGAGATGTTACAGAGTCTGAGACTACTGATATGGAAGAATTGCTTTAAACTATTGGAGACCTTGACATTATATCATGGCATGTATATGTGTAGCTCCTAATGATGAAATCTTTATTTTTGCTAGGAGGGTTTGCATAGTGAGCACCAGGAATTGACTATCACAAATGAAAGTATATGGCAATCCACTTGAAGAGTTAATAAGACCTAGATCTTTCTGTGTGTCTTTATCTATTGGTTAGAAATTTGTCAAGTATAGTTTATCCAAGATTATGTATGCCTTTTCATATTTATTTCTAAACATTTTTTCAGTGTTTACATTATCAGTAATAAAGGGAAGTTTCTAGGTCTCGAAGGCCAGAGTGAATAAGATACATGTTTATTCAGGGTGAGTAGAGTTAGCAGAGGTGATGTGTAGAATCTCCCTAATATTCAAGGCAAATAGCATCCAAAAAAACCAAAGCAATGTGATCAATCCAAAGACTAGAAACTTCTGTTGAAAGTGAGATACAGAAGAGATAAAATCATGACTTTCTTAAGAATGAACTAGTTGGTCTTGTAGACTGTATAACTGATTGATAGTTTTAGGTGCATGGTTATAAAAACCACACATATCATTTCTTGAAGTTCATGGAGAGGATAAATTATGTAACTTTCTTTAGGATGTGTACTTTTAATAAAGATACCCACATCAAAACAGAAGAGGAAAATCTACCAGTCACCTCTCTGACCCAGGCGTAGTTTTTCTAACTGCTATTAGTGTATGAGATTTTCCAGGGCAGTGTCAGTGGCTCTTCACTACCTGACCCTAACTAGTATCTTTTATTCTTTCCACTCACGAGCTATTGTCTCTGTCCAAAATGAACATCCCAACATTCCACGAAGCTTTATATACTGACTTACCTCTGAGCCTTCCTGACACTGTATTTCCCCAGAATAGTTATCTGCTCTCCATCTCTTGAAGACTTTCCTACTGTACGTAATGCTTGGTCAATGAAAGAACCTTAAGACTTTATTCATCAAATAAAAATTTTACACAGTATTATAATAGGTTCTTGTGTTTCATTTTCTCCTCAGCTAGATTATAGAGTGCTTGAAATTAGTAATTCTGTATCCTTGTGGCATTCAGTACTTCAGGTCTTAACATTTGTGCATTGGGTCAAAGCCATTTCGGTTCTAGTGCTGGCCTGTCCCCATGCACATCCCCACTTGCATGGTGCACAATCTGTAGATGTCATAAATCTTCCTTATTTTTAGCAAACTTGTTAGGATTCTGGACAGGCACAAATGCTGGAGTTGAGCTTTCTAAATTCAGGGTAGAAAATGTAAATCTCACTTGAAGGCACCTTTCTTTCAAATCCTAATTCTGTTCTGAATTAATGGAATTTAGAAAGAATTGCATTTTTGATCTGTTACAAATACCTTTCCAAGAGGAGGTTCAATCAGCAAAATGAAAGCCTCTCAACTAGTTAAAACTCTCTTCTTACTTTAATTAAAATGTTAATACAACTAGATGTCCTTTTACATTCAAATGCAGAAGCTGTCAAAATTATTACCTTTTACAAACTCTTCATGGAGAGTTCAACCTAAGAAGAGCAGAATAAATCAGGAAACTGGATTGTACTCTGAAAGAAATATAGTTTGCTCATTATAGAAGGATGAACTTTGAGAGACGAGTATGACTTTGAATATAATGTGCTATATAAATGTTCTTCATGTCATAGTCTGTTAATAGTTTTAGAGTTTATTTCTGTTTTTGCCTTTTTATTTTAATTTTGTCTTTTTATTTTTATCTTTGACCTCTATAATGTATGGCTCATAGGAAATTGCAGAAATAGTAGAGTTTCCATTTATCCATCATTCATGTCCTCCAATGCTCACATTTTACACAATAATAGCTCAGTACAGAAACCAAAAAATTAAAATAGGTAAAAATGTATGTGAGTTGTTATGGTTTGTGTCTAGATATCCCCCAAAAGCCTTATGCAGTCATGTGGGTTAGGTTTTTCAGAGGTAGCTGAATCTAGAGTTTGTGATTGTTTCATGATTCAATGCTAGGATTAAGAGAGCTAGGTTTAAGGATAGATGATTGCTGGATTAAGCTACCAATTGGATTGTCACTGCCCTAGATCCAGTAAACTGCATAACATAAAAGGGACAGAAAAAGGCTTGTGTATCTATTTTCCTTGCTGTTTTTGGTGTCTTCCACCGCCATGAAATGTTGCACGTCTGCCATGTCCTTGCCTTGGAGCCAGCCAGTTATGCACTATAACCTCTGCAAACTGTGGGCCAAATAAATCTCTTTCCCTTTAACTTTGGTTGTTGGGTAATTTGTTTAAGCAACAAGAGAAGAGTAACTGAAATGTGTGGTTTTAGTATGTGTGTAGATATGGAATGCAGAATTCCCATCACAGCACAGCTCTCCTTTGTGCCACCTTTTAGAGTCACACTAACCCTGCATTCCACTGATACCTCTGACTGCCAAAAGTCCCTGATATTTTCTCCATAACCATCATTTTACCACTTCAGAGGGATTGTAGAGGTTGAATTTTACTTTATATTCCATTTCACCTTATCTGTTCCTCAGCATCAGTTCAGGTCTGTTCAAATGTACCAGTAGCATATTCTTCTTTACAGATAATGAGAAATACATCTGTCTTCCAAATAGTAGTATTTTTAGTATTTTGTATTTTTCTTTAATTTTGTTTGGGGTTGTTTTATTGTTGCTCTTATTTTTTTACAAGTATTTCTTGGCTATTATTATTCAGGATGGCTAAAACTGTAAAATTCCAGAGTTCTGGAAACAGAAATAAGGGTATTGGTCACATCAAACTACCTATAACCCACCTTACTTGTTCCAACTGAGTTGAAGTATTTACCATACTCTACCTTCCAGCTAGGGGAGAGGTCATCCATTGGATTGTCTGAGGCCTCCAACAGGAGCCTCTGTAAAGCTTCCTGCAAGAGGTGGTTGTTTCTTTATTGTAAGTCATAAACTTCTTATAAGGTGAAGATACTAAAAGTTGATTCTATAATAATGTATTATATTCAATAAGTGGTCAACTTATAAACATTAGAGTTGTGCATGTTCATAGACACAAATGAACCTTGTATTATGAACATTCATAGATGCAAGCAAATCATGGAAGCAGTCGTATGTCTGCCAGACACAGTCACAGCTGTGCTGCTGTGTGCTTACTGCACAGCACAATAGTGTATAGCAGTACAGTGCTCAGTCAGAGCCCAGGATCTCCAGAAGCAAGAGGAAAAATGGTGATGTGGGAGGAAGCACAAAGCAACATAATGTGTGTATATCAGAATAGAAGAGAGGATTATGAATGTACTTTCCATAATGAAATAATGTTTAAGGTGATAGATATCATGTGATAACTACCCCAAGTTTATCTTACCCAATGTATAGTACATGAATCAAAACAAAACAAGGGCAAATTCCTCCCTCTAAGATCTTGAAATCTAGCTTGGCAAGGCAGGATTGTACCTTGTGTTTGAAGTTCTGCTGTTGTGAATGTAAATTGTTGACACATTCAAGGATTTACATCTCAGCTGCCATGTAAAAAATAATATGGAGTCACAGAATGCAAGATGATAAACACATAAGTAAATAAACACATGACATGGTGTGCCATGCAACAGTGGTACAAGACCAGGGGATTAACAGTGGTTGCTGTGCTGGAGAAATGGAGGCAATTTCAGATACAGTGGGCAATTAGTATTTGAAAAGGTAGCATTTCAAGACAGACCAGAGACTAAGAGGATCCTTTGTGCATTGAATTTACCAAACTGAGAAAGCAGCAGAGAAAAAAGTCTGATATAGGAATGATGTAAGAATAGGTGAATCCAGGTCCTGGACCTCAAAGTCTAATTTTTGGCACCTTGCACAAACTTCTAACAAGCGAAAGACTCTAAAAATCTAAGATTTCTTCAAGAAGACCTACAAAACTCAGAATTAGTCTTATGTTTAGTATACTGTCATACACCCATGCACTCACACCACTGTTTGCCAGTAGGGAATGTTATTTTCTCCTTGCTCCCACATGTTCCTCTTCATTAATAATAAGTGAAAATTTCAAATAATCAGAAAGTTACCTACCTACATAAAATCCAGGCCAGGTACTATAAGTCAGGTTTCAATAAGAACAACTTTTCACCTTCCTCTGAACTCTGATTGTATCTAAGCCTTCCTTGGGAGCACGATGCCTTTCTCCAGTAAGATACACGTGCATATTTGTGCTATCTCATAATCAAGTAGGAAGTTCTAGAGGGCAAAGCCTACTCTACATATTTCTGTGCCACCTATAATTAAATTCAAATGTCTTGAAATTTGTGAAGTAGTTAGTGGATATTTATTAAGTAGAGTTACAGATGAAAATGGTATTATTCATTTAGACTTTACAGAAAGAAGAGAATTTCTTGGGAGATGAGTGGCTGGCAGTGGTGGTGAGGCATTGTGTGGGGAGGACCTGCACCAGCGGGTGGATGTGATGGGAGACGGACAAGGGGGCAGGGCCAAGAGGATGGGTGCGCTACCCTACAATGTTCTTCACTACCCAGCCACATTAGAACACAGTGCCTTATTACAGAAACATCAAGGTATTAAAATGGGATGTTTCCTGTATCTTGTTTCTCAAAATGTGGACTCAAACAATGATTGTCATACTACAATGGAAGCGTTTGACCTTTCCATTAGGTTTTCTTGCTACATGAGGGCCTCAGTCACAGCATGCAATCTTGGAAAACAGCTAAGACCCTTACATTTTAAGGGACATATGCATAGCTGCTCATACTCTTTGCATCAAGACAATACACCCCAAAAGAATGAGACAGTAGGATTCCTCCTTCTGTAGCTTCTGAGTTTATAGACACTACAGTCTTGAGTTACAAGCAACATCACGGTTTCTTCAAGATAGCCCAATTGTTTGGCCATTTCTCATTGCCTATGGGATATGATAATGTGGAAAAAGGGCATGTTCTCATACTCCCTTTGTGTTTTGAGTAGTTTTCTACCACTAGTGGGAGAATAAATTCAACCTTCACAGCATGTGTTCTTTATGCCAAAGAGAAATGCTCTCTGATCCTAGTGCTTTCATGCCACTGTAGTCTTTACTGGAATATTGTACATTTTACCTTCAGAGAGTAAGTTCCTTAAAGGCATTAAGAGTTTAGACTGGCGTGACACTTACATACAATGTTGACCCTTGAGACACATGTGCAGCATTGGCATATAAAATATTTTTGTAAGATTAGCAAGGATAGTAACATTTTAAAAATATACTTTTAAAAAATATTTCCAGATCCAGAGTGTTTATATGGTTCAGTATGAAAAAAACATGAAGAAGAAAATACAATCCATTATCTATGATGGCAGTAGAAGAGCAATACTTAATGAAGTCTCTCTGTTGCATTGTGAACAAAAAAGAAAACTTACTGAAGATAAACTGAACAATCTTCATGCAAAAATGGCAGCATTGCTGCAGAAACTGGTGAGTGATGAAATTTTATTAGTAGGAGTATGCTCTGGGGAAAGACCCTTTGCTAATCAGCTTTGTGTTACTGTAACAAAATACTTGTGAAAGTCAAACTAAAGGAGGAAAGGTTTGTTTTCTTTCAGTGTCAGAGGGCTCAGTCCATGGTCAGCAGGCTCTGTTTCTTTTTAGGTATATTGTGAGGCAAAAGCATCCTAGTGAGAGAGTGAGGAGGCAGAAAGAGGAAGGAGCCATGGCCAAATACACTCTTCCAGATTACACCTCTAGAGAGCTACGACCTCCAGCTAAGCCCCATCCCCTAACATCCCGCTCAGCTATGAACTCACCCATAGATTAATTCTCTGACAAGGTTGGCACCTCCAAGACACATCACATTCTGAAAGCAACACCCCTAGCCACATGAGCATTTTCAGGGACATCTATGATCCAGAGCAAAAAAGAACCCTCAGATATATTCTTCTGCTCTTGTCAGACCACACTGACCCTGGACAAGTCTCATAATGAGACCTCAGTGTCCCTGTAAGGATATTAAGATCATAAATAGAATAACCACAAAGGTGTATATTAGAACATCTTACATTTTTTTTTTATCTTTAAAGATTGGAGTCTTTGTGCTCTTGGTAGAAGACACTTTTGGTGTCTCCTCAGTAATGTATTCAATAGGAAACTGTTTTTCCAAGTTTTTTAGAAAACTAGATAACTTTTATGTATGCATGTGTAAATAAAAATAAGCCCTCCAAATATTAGAGATGTTGGAGAAGTGGGGAAACATGACTATGAACTACTGTCATCATTGTTTGTATATTTTAATATATAAAGAATTGAGATTTTATAATAGAGGGAATTAATAGAGAAAGGTCCATCCTCTAATATGTTACATAGCAATTCTATTACAGTAAAAATTAAAATATGTTATCCAGCATTTACCAGGGATGGTTTCACCTGTGAAAGGAAGTGTCACTCACTGGGCATCAATGTAGAATGTATTAATCATAGACTGCCTGTGATTCAATCCTCACTGTGAACATTGCAAAATGAGTGTTTAGTATATCACAAAACACAAGTCCCTTCTCACCAGGGTGAGCCAGGAAAAAATAAAATGCTACCTCATTAAAATAAAAAGGATAATAACCAGTGTTAGCTGTGTTTACATTATGGTTATTGTATTCATGCCTCTGTCAATGATAGTTCTTCAGGTTCCTTATTGCTGTGAAAATGGGATTTGAGAGGAGCCATGACTATTTGTACTTATAAAAGTGTTTATATGTGAAAGGTACGCTGTGGAACCTGGCACATGGTGGGCTTTCAGTGATGACTGTTTCAATAAGAAACACTGGAGAGACCAAAGACATTTGGTATAAAATTCAGTATTACTTTGTGACAGAGGTTCTAAAAATTATTCATTCTCATAATAGACAATCTGTTTGGTTAGGGAAAATGAAAGAATAATAACTCCCTAAATTAAAAAAATTACCTTCAATGCCAAACTTTTAGTTTTCCCAGAATAGCCAGGGTAATTATATTAATTAAATTTGCTTTTGTCATTAAGTTTGGTAGGGATGTGAAGGTCTTCTGACACCAGAATATGAAACTTTACCTACGATCAGTGGAGAAGTACTTAAATGGCTCTGACTCAAACACATACCGTTTGTAGTTCCCCTGATTGCCAGAGCAACTGCAGTGGAATAGAGTAGAGGATAGAGATGAGGCCGACGCAAAGCCAACACAGTGGGACAGGCGCGTGAAAAAGCTGGGTGAACTCAGTGTGAAGACCTAGGAAGCGGTTAGTCTGCCAGGAAGAGAATAGTAGCCTAAAGATAGATTGTACCTAACAGGCTGAGACCTTTCAGGGTCAGGAAGGCTCACAGATCTTCTTCAGGGTTACTATATTTGGTATATTTAGAAATCCAGGTGAATGTCAACACCGTGGAAAGCCATCCATAGGAGCAAGACCCTAAAGTAAGGCAGAAGAAGTAGCTGAAACACACTTAATAGAACCAGAGAAGGAAAGGAAGACTTGAGTGGTGGAGCTGAGCACACAATGGGGACAGTCATAAAGCTAGAAATCATTTCTGAAAGGTCCTTCCCAGCAGTTCTGTCATCCATCTGTCCATTTGGGAGTGAGTGGGCTGTAAGCGGGCCTGAAAGGGACTGATTCGATCAGTTAAAAGAGCACATCGCCTTGTCCTGTTGTAGACCAACAAGCCCAGGAAAGGGAAGCATGAATTACCCCAGTAAGGAGACAAGGGTCAGAGAAAGGAAGGATGTGTCCAAGTGGGGAGAGCATGGTGGGGAGCCAAACGTGAAGGGGAAAATTTACCACGGAAAGAGGAGCCAGGGAAGTGCACTTTGGGTCCCTGCTTTTTGCCTATAAGGCCATAAATCATGAACATTTAAAATGGGAGATGAGAGCCTGCAACGGAGAAGGATGGTACTGGGTTGGGGGTTTTAGGAATATGACAAGTATTTTAGAAAAAAAAGAGGAAAACACCAGTGGGACCAACCTCCACTAAACAAAAACTGATTCTAATTGCTCACCACCTATGAACATAAAATGAGAACTTTAATGAGAAAACTTACGAAAATGTTAGAAGCATTTTAAACAAAGGGCAGGTTTCCTTGCTGTGTGGGACTCGGAGGACATGGTGGGGGCCCTCCCGGCTGAGGCAGTGAAGCCAACAGCTTCTTCCCTGATGCACTGTGGCTTCTGTCCTCCAGGGCTGCCCCGCAGGAGACCCGGAGCAGATGGATGCCTACTTAGAAGGGCTGCTTGAAGGCCACACACTCCTTTTCCAAAATACTGAGCAGTGACCACAGAGGCGGGCCACACCCTCCCTGTAGAGAACAAGGGCAGAACGTCTAAAATTAAACCTTAGGGAAGCTGTTCTCTTTTTAAAAATGCTAATCCGAACATCAGAAGATTTTTCTCAAAATCCTTTCGTCATTGCTATTGTAAAATTTGCCAGGTTAATTCTAAAAAAAAAAAAAATGTACACTTTAGGTATGGTGACTGATTGAAAATTTACAATTTATTTTCTAACTATTCTAAAAGTTTCCATAATTATTTTCTTGCTTCTATTTCTGTTCTCTCAGAAATAATTTCTCAAATTTTCTAATTTGTGTGTGTGTTACTAAGAAAAATGCAAATGTCATTTTAGTTTAAATTTTGCTTTAACTTAAATAATTTTTAAAACTTGAAGATAGTGCTTTTCAAAATCAATATATAAAGAACTAGAAAATCAGCTCCTTTTGTTGAAAAGGAAAACAGTATGTCCTTGCTTTACTATAGTTTTATACTCAACAAAACAGAAAATGTAAGGACCTGGGTATAATTCCAGCACAGAAACAGTGCCTCAGTCTAGCCCATCCTGGGTTACGAAGTGAGTTCAAGGCTAACCTAGACGACATAGTGAGAGCCTATCTAAAAGCAAGAAAAAGAAAGAAAATACTAATCCTTCAAAAACTTTGTGATATAGCTGATACGTTAATTTTATTGTTAAAGAAAAACCTCTTAAACATAATACATATTTATAACTATATTTTAATATTTATACATGTGTGAGAAATCACTTTATATTTACCTGAATAACTGATTGTTTTCTTTGGAAATGTTTGCAACCTTGAACTAAAACAGTAAAACATTTAATAATGAGTGAATTGTATAATTTTGTGATATGTAGATGTTTAATAAATATGCCATTTTTAAAAAGCTTTGTTTCCATCTTTTTCCTTCTTTTCTTGTTTTTCTTTTTCTTTTTCCTTTCTTTGTTTCTCCCTCCACACTCCCTAGTTTACCCTCCCATTTGACCATTTTCTTCCTACTTCACAGAAGGGTTGAAGGGAGGGAATGGAAAAAAAACCAAGTTATATCATGTACAGGTACAACTTCCCTATGATGAACCTGATTACTATGTATGCCCAAAAGTTACCAATAAAGTTAACTAATGAGAGGCTGGGGATATAGCTCAGTGGCATAAGCATCTGCCTGGCAAGTACAAGATCTTGATTTCAATTCCCAGTACAAAGAAAAAAAATTAAATAAAGTTAATTAGTTAAATATGTTAAGTAAATTTTTTTCATTTTGTATGTTTATTAGTACATGTTTTCAAGACATAATGATTACATGGGAAGGTGGTCCATGTACATAACACATCTTAGTTATTCCCTTCTTTCCCTTCGTCTCTTGCTTCATTCCTATTTGTGAGAGACCTGTGTCCTGTGAACAGGATACCGTGCAAAGTTTGTGTCTAGCTTTTTACTCAGTCTTCCCAAGAGGCATGTCTTTACCCGCTTCCTTACTGAAATTCTACTTTGGTATAGCTTACCAATTACTTGTAACTTGACCTCTAAACAAGCTATGTAGCACCATGCTGACTTTTTTATAGTTGAAGAGATGGATGTAAGAGCATTCAAAAAATGCTGTTGAGGTTTTTTTCTATTCAAAATATTATCGAGATTGTCTCATGTCAGAAGCAATGTATGTAGCCATATATCTGAGAGGTAAGGAGATAATTTCTCATTATCTTTAACTGCCTTTTATTATTCCATGCTATGAAAATGTCAGTTTACTTAGCCACTCCCTTATCAATGGACATTTTGATATTTTGTCCTTTCAGATTTACATGCACATTAACAGTGAATATCCCTGTAATTGTGTTTATTTTATACACATACAGTTGTATCTGTTGATTAAATCTCAGCAAGTGAATTGCTGGGTCAAAGAATGTATGCATTTCATTATTAATATTGCCTAGTAGTACAAGGTAAATTGTTGTACCTAGTAGTACAAGGTGTATTTTGTTAATACATACTCCTCCATACCTCCACCTGTCCAGTGAAATCTCAGTACCTTAGCTTGCTGATCAAATTGGTAAACAAACGAATTATCCTTGTAGTGTTTGTTCATGGTGCTGGGGAGGAACCCAGAGTTCCATGCTTTTTAGGCAAGTGCTTCACCACTGAGCTGCCTCTCATCTTTTTTAAATTTTATTTTGAGAGGAAGTCTTACTAAGTTGCTCAGGTTGGATTCAGACTTGTGATCCTCCTGCCTAAGTCTCATGAGGATCTGAGATTACCATATGCCACCATGTCTGGCGATTCTTGGACTTTTAATGTACATTTACTTACAACTGGTTGAGCATTTTTTCACATCTCAATGTCATTTGCATTTTTAAATTTAGCCTTTGTGCCTTTTTCTATTTGGTGGCAAGATCTATTTCTTACTAATTTATAAGAACTAATTTCAAATTTTACATTTTTGCATTACATATATTACAAATATTTTCTTATAATTTTTAAATGTTTTATGATGTTTTGAATCATGCAAGAGTTTTGGTTTAATATCTTTTGCTTATGCTTTCTGTAGTCATATGAAGACTTTTCCTTACTAAATTATAAAACAATCTTGTTTCTTGTAATAATTTTAATTATTATATCATTAAACCTTTGAGTCATCTATAATTTATCTTGAAAATCTCACTTTACATATGTGTCTGTGTGTGTACATATGTATCTGTGTTTCTACAAAATCATTGAAATGTCTCAGAATTATTAATTGAATAACCAATCCTTTCCCCACTGATGTTCATCGTCAAATTTTTGTATGTTTAATTCCTCTTTGGAACAGAACTTCTTTTAAAAATTATATCTTTTTTCATTTATTTTTGCATTTTCTAATGCCCGAATCATGTTTTAGCAAGTCTAGTTATAATTTTACCTTTCCACATTTTCTTGTATAAATACAGTTGTTTAGTTTTCATTGAAATTACAAGTGACTTTTTCAGTCATACACACTTCTCTAAATTTTATTTGTATTTTCTTGGATTTTTTTGGTGTAGCATACAATACTATATAGGGAATTATCTTTTTTGTAAATGTTTTTTGCAATCAAGTCTTGCTAAACTCAAAACCAAAATGTGTTCAAGGCTTGATACCGTAAAGTGCCATTTTTCTTCAAGTATCTTTCACATTTTTTACGTTTATTGCAAGTAGTATAATTCATTGTTTGGTCTATCATAGATGAAGATATTTACCCAGCCTTTGGGTTTGCCTTCCACAAGTGACATTCTTGCCACTTGAAAACTCACTAGGAAGGCTGCTCTGAAGAGGAGAAAAGTCAGGGAAGGGGAGAAGAAGGAGGAAGAAGATGGGGGAGAATAATAAAAGCTTATAACCTCTCTGGAAAAATATACCAAAATAAAAACCACTATTTGTATAACTAATATGCACTAATAAAAACTTGCATTAATTTCCTCTGACATCATCAGTATCTATTTCCCCTTTAGTGTAAAAATTTGTAATTAATAAAAGTTTGTAGCTCAGGAACGAGGCAAGAGTGTCCACTCTGATCAGTATTATTTAATATAGCTCATAAAATTGTAGCTATGGCAGTTAGGCAACAGAGAAAAAGGGATATGAACAGGAAAGAAAAATGGCAAATTATCCTTATTTCCAGATGATATGTACTTAGCAAACTCTAAAGACTCTACCAAAAAACTTTCAGAACTGATAAATGAATTCAGCAATGTAACAGGATATAAAATCAATAATAAATAAGCAGTAGCTTTAGTATACACCAATAATATACTAACTGAGAAATCAGGAAAACAATTTCATTCATATAAGCTTAAAAAATACTTATGGATCAGTCTAATTGAAAAGGTGACAGATTTCTACAATGAAAGTTTCAGAACACTGAAGAAGCTGAAGAATACACTAGAAGATAGAAATCCCTCCTATGTTCTTGGATTGGCAGAATTTTGTCAAAGTGGCCGTTTTGCCAAAAGAAATCCACAGGTTCAATACAGGCCTCTTTAAAATACCAATGCCATTCTTCACAGAACAGAAAAACAATGCTAAATTTATATGGAAACACAAAAGACTCCAAAATAGTCAAAATGACCCCAAGCAAATAGAGCATAGCTATATAGGAATCATAGTGTCTGATTTCAAATTATTCTACAAAGCCACAGTAATAAAAGCAGCATGGTGTTGGCACAAACATGGACTCAGACTAATGGAATGGAATAGAGGACACAAGAACAAACCTACACCAACTACAACTATCTGATTCTGGACAAAAGAACCAAGTTGGAGAAAAGTCCGTCTCTAACAAGTGATGAGAAAACTGGATTTCTACTTGTAGAAAACCAAAACTAGATCCTTCTCATCCCGTACAAATACTGTCAAAATGGATCAAAGATCTAAGTATAAAACCTGAAACTTTAGAATTACTAAAAGAAAATATAGAGGAAATACTTGAAATTGTAGGTACATGGAAAAAAGACTTCTTGAGTAGGACTCCAATAGCACAGAAAATAATGAGAAGAATCCAGTGGGACTACCTCAAATTAGAAAGTTTCTGCACAGCAAAGGAAACAACTCCCAGAAAGAAGAGGCAGCCTACAGAATGGGAGACAATCCTGACCAGTTATTCTTCTGACATACATAAACAGTTTAGGGAAAGAACATCAGTCACACAGCCTAATCAATAAATGGACAAAATATACACTTCTTAAAAGGAGGAGTACAATAGCCAATCAAAGGGATAATCAAAATATACAGTAAAGGATTAAAAATGTTATTACTCCCCCTCAGAATACTCCTCCTTGCTTTGAGCACACCTCATTGTTCTTGCCACCATCTGAAGCAGCTCTGGGAGTGCTGTTTTGTGTCTTTACAAAGTGTGATTAAAAATACAGTGAATGACGCTGAGAGTCATCCCATGGAAAGGCAGCCTCACAGAAACATTACAGTACGTCCTCATTCAGCTTGACCATCAGAGCTGGCACCATGTGACTTTTGGCCTTTCCCAAAGGTCAAAATGGCCATAAAAGTAAATATTCTGAATTATCAGGACATCCAGGAAGCCATGACAGCACAACAAAAGATACTTACGAAAGAGGACTTCCAGACCTGCTTCGGAAAACGATGAAACCAATGGACACAGTGTGCTGTGAGAGGAAGTATTTTGAAAGAGATTAATGACACTGTGTCTTTTGCTGTTATAGTTATACAAATTGAAATATTTTTTCAATTGCATCTTGTAAGCATCTGAAAAAAATGTTCAGCAACTTTAGCCATTGAAGAAATGCAAATCAAAAGTACACTGAGATTCCATCCCAGTCAAGTCATAATGAACATCATCAAGAATACAAAAAAGCAGTTAATATACTGAGGATGAGCACCATGGAGGGAAAGGCACCCTTCTACTTTGCTGATAGGAATGTACATAAAGCAGCACAGCCACTATGCAGCTCAATATGGAATTTCCTAAGAAATAAAATAAAAATGGAGTTACCGTTTGTTTCTGTTATGCCACCTTTTTGCATATACCCATGGCACTTAGGGTCAGCATCTCTAGGTATACCTTCATATGCGTATTTACCCATTCATATCCATATTTATTGTGACACAATTCACACTACCCAAGATATAGAACCTGTTTATATATCCATCAAGAGATGAATAAAGAATTTATGATACATGCATTCATTTATTATGCAGCCATAAAGAAGAATGAAGTTCTGTCATTTGTAGGAAAATAAATGGCTCTGGAGACCATTTCAGAGCAAAATAAGCAAGGCTCAGAAAGACGAATACTATGTGTTCTCTTTTCCCTGTAGAATCTAAAAAATGGAAGAGAGACTAGGTTATTAGACAAGAGGAAGGGAATAAGAGAAAGGTAAAGGTT